AACCAAAACCCAAAGATATTAAAGGCCAGATATTACAATGGCTCAAGACAGAAATCATAGCAACAACATCCAACCCAACAGAATGATCAGTAATCTACCTTACCTATCAGTTCTCTCAATAAATGTGAATGGCTTAAACTCTCCACTCAAAAGACATAGGCTGGCTGAATGGATAAGAAAATACAGGCCAAGTATATGCTGTCTTCAGGAAACACATCTAACCTGCAAGGATGCATATAGACTAAAAATCAAAGGGTGGAGATCAATATTCCAAGCAAATAGAAGCCAAAAGAAGGCTGGTGTGGCAGTTCTAATTTCAGACGATTTAGTTTTTAAACCAACAAAAGTAGTGAAAGACAAAGAGGGTCATTATATAATGGTGAAGGGCACAGTTCAACAAGAAGAGATAACAATTTTAAATATATATGCACCCAACTTAGGTGCATCCAGATTCATAAAGCAAACCTTACTGGAGCTAAACAAATGTATTACTATTTTTGAGAGGCCAAAAGCATAGGTTAATTAACAGAAAGAGGCAGGGGGCCTGTGGTGTCACCAGAAAGGGTGTTTATCATGTGATCTTTGTACTGGGCCTTCTGGGTGCTCCTCTGGAGGCCCCAACCAAAGCCAGAAGCAGGGATTTTTGTTTTCTGCCCTGAGAGCGTCATTCCTGCCCTTGAGGAGCATCACGTCCTGCCTGTGGATACTGAGCTGTGTCGTCTCCCAGGCAGGGTCCCTCTCGCTGGGACTGTGGCAGCAGCCTCCGGTGGGACCCCTGACTGCAGGCCTGCCTCCTCCAGCCCTGTCCTGCAGATAATGGCACTCCCTGGTCTGAAGCCTTCCCTGGGCCCAGCCCTAGAGGGGCAAAGCATTACATCCCTGCCCCACGCCGCTCTGTTCTGCGGCTGCCTCTGCTGGGGCCTCGAGGAACACCTGGCCATCGGAGGTGACACCCTGACCAGCCCATCCCAGGCCTTGGCTGGTACCTGGGGTGCCTGCCTTCCCCTGCCATCAAAGTGCTACCCATCCTTCAAGGCCTGGCTCATGTGCTCTCCTCCACCCCTGAAAGTGTCCTCAGGGTGTCCCCAGGCCTTCTCTGGGCAGGACAAACCGCACTTTCTAAGCTGCTCTTACGAGGTTCCAGGACAGAAGGCGAGTGCTCGGGTGTGGAGATGGGGGTGAGTTCCAGCAGGGGAAGCCAAGCAGAGGCTCAGAGCCCCGGACCCAAGGGAAGCCAGGATCAGGTGGGGCCCACGGGCACCCAGGCTCAGCAGACAGGAAGGGCCTACAGCCATCACTCAGTCTGATCTGTCCTTTTACAGATGGGGAAACAGGGGCCCAGGGAGGGAAGGCAGTGCCAGGCAGGCGAGAGGGTCCTGGGCTGGAAGACGGGAGCCTGGCCGTGGAGTCACCCCCGGCCTGGGCGAGTCTCCCCACCTTCCCGAGGCTCCGTTTTCTCACATAGAAAATGTAGACAGTTGTATGCATCTTGTGAGCATCATGGGATTGTCAGGAGGGTTCAGTGAAGTTCTGGATGCCAAGGAGGCCTTGGTGACCAATATAGGATCATTATTATGTGTCACTATTTACATTTACTGAGCACTCATTAGATACCAGGCACTCTATATATCAGTTCACTTGGTTTTTAAAACAACCACATAGTCTTGACAACAACCTGTCATTTGCCTCTACTTTATAGAGGAGCTAACTGAGGCACAGAGTGGTTGAGCAACCTGCTGAGAGCTTCACAGAGCTAGGAAGAGGCAGACCAGGATTTGAAGCCATGCAGTCTGGCTCCAGAGAGACACCTTGCTCCTTGCCTCTGTGCCAAACTGACTGAGGCACATGGGGTCAGGTGGCAGCACGTGCCTTAAACCTGGGCAGTCTTCTGCCTCCCACCCAGCTTGGTGGCCTGGCGAGGCCACGTCTTATAGCCAGGCAGCTTCCTTGGTGACTGAGGACCTGGCCTCCCATATGTCATGGGGTGAGGGCTGCCTGTACTCAGCCAGCTTCCCATGTGGCACTTCAGATAATTACACACCACCACAGAGTCCCCAACATGTGGCCAGACCAGCCCCTGTGTCAGTCTCATGCCCCAGAGATGGACAAGCTCCCCTTTGCCAGAATGCACCAATCTCACAGGCAGGTCACAGGACAGCGGCCCCGTGTTGGGGGTGCCCTCCACACCCCCACTCTTGGCCCATGAGGGGGTGGTCCCTGGTGGGTTCATCTCCTCCACCAAGGGGCAGTATGGTGTGGCGGGCGATGGAGTCGGAGACATTGGTTTGAATCCTGGCACATGGCAGGTGCTCAGTGCACCCCTGGCTGTCAGTGCTAATAATGAGAGCAATGGTAGCCATCATCTGAGGAGACAGGTCTGCTCTGAAAACGTGTCCTGGTTGACTTAGGAGTTCCCATTCGTTCATTCACTCAACAAATAGTTGTCTGTGCCGACTGGATGCCAGGCCCTGTGCTAGAGGTTGGGATAGAGACATGGGCAGACAAAACTCCCTGTCCCCACGGGGCTCACATCCTAGTGGGAGAGGCAGATAATTAGCGAGATGAGTGTGATAAACAAGACAGGTTGGACTGTGATAAGTTGTATGGAGAAAAATAAAGAAGGAAAGAGAAACGTGGTGGAAGGAGTTTCTTTTTAAACGTGGTGGTCAGAGAAGGCTTCACAGGGAAGACGACACGCGAAGAAAGCCTAGCAGGGGTGAGGGAAGAGCCGCACCGACTGTGGAGGAGCGTGTGTTACGGGGAGCCAGGGGAGCTGCCGGTGATTTCTGGAGCGCCCGCCGTCTGCCGTGGATGGGACATCACACCGGGGTGTGGGTGGGGCGGCCCACAGGTGCAGAGAGGAATCAGTCCCACCTGCAGGGCCAGACACGCCCATGCCACAGGGGACTCCCATGCCGGTCAGGGCAAACCCAGTGCTGTGGCATGAAGCAGAGAGGGGCTTCCCAGAGTAAGAAGTGCCCAAGTACCTCTATGCTCAGTACCGGGAGGCCAGGCAGGTGGGGACGGGGTCGAGGATGGCGTACTCTGACTTAGGTACATTCTCTAGAAGAGTTGGGAGCTGCTTATGTCCCTTTGCAGCCCCCCAGGAGCCAATGCCAATTTGAGGATGGGTAATGTTAACTAATTCCAGGCAAACGGAACTGAGATGTGTACTTTGGAGAGCTGTAGATCAGGGAGGCTTCCTGGAAGAGGTGGCCTTGAAGCTGGGCCTGGCAGCAGAAGCAATGTGGCTAAGCAGAGATGCAAAGATGGCCTATGCCCTGGGCCCAGGCACAGCGCTGTCGAGAAGTGCCTCTGATGGGGCAGCTCCACGTGCACCCCAAGGGGAGGTGGCTGTCCCCCTTCCCCAGGCTGCTCAGGCCCTCTGCTCCCCCTAGACTGCCCCTGAGGAGGAGGAGGTGCCTGGCGCTGATGGATATGCCGAGGCTGGGCTGCTGCGGCCCGGCACTGTCACCATGCTCTCCCTCTGCACGCCGAACCTGACACCCTGACCACTGAGGCATAAAAAACAGAGAATTGGAAGGCTCAGCCTGTCAGGCTGGGAGTGGCCCCCAGAGAGGCCTGAGGAGGAGTGTGTGTGTGAGTGTGTGCCTGTGCGTGTGGACACGCTCTGCCTGTGGTTGCTGGCAGAGGTGGGGAGGAGGCTGCCCGGCCCAGGGGGTGGGAGCGGCCACCCCACAATCCTGCCTGTTATTCCTGCCCCACCTGGCCGAGCCCTGCAGGCCCCACATTTGGGTTTAGCCACAGGGGAGAGAGCGTGGCTCTTCGCCCTGAGTCCTGGCGGGTCCCTTTTTCAGGCTCTGGCCCTTCACCCTTATAGGCATGCTCGGGGGGTGGGGGGATGGTGGAGGCACTTGTGGGCTGCAGGTGGTCTCGTGGGGCTGTGTAACTCCCACCAGCTCTGGCAGGGAAGGGCCCGCGTGCTCTGTACCCTGCAGCTCTACCGAGCCTCTCAACAGCTGCTTCCCAGGCCCCGCTCCAGGGCCTGTGCCAAGCGAGCATGGCCCGCCAGGCACTGGGGGACCCAGCGATGAGTCAGGGCCAAAGCCCACCCTCTGGGGGCAGACAGACAGGCCCTGCTGGCCACAAGACCAAGGCAGCAAGATTAGGAGGGACAGAGTCGTGACCTCTCCTCCTGCAACCTGGTGGGTGGTAAGAGGCACCCCTGGGGCAGGCAGCGAGAGCCCAGGGAAGTGCCAGGGGCAAGTGTCACACTCCAGGAGCAGCTGGGGCCACAATCACAGGAAGCTGGCACCCCCACAGCTCCTGCCTGAGCCCGCCCAGAGCTGCTAACAACTGCCCCTTTTCGTGCCTAGAAGGCCCTGCCCGACTCCCTCTTCCCTGCTTTCTGAGCCCTTGGCTTGCCCTTCATTTCAGCAAAGTTCCATCTGCCTCCTCCAGGCAGAGGGCCTGGGTTTATGTCTCATGTACCTGACTGGACTGAAGCCCCAGGAGAGCCACCCTGGCTTCACGGCACAGAGAGCCAGACTAGGGTTGAGGTTAACTGTGTCTTCTATGTCCAGAGCCACTCAGGGAGCACTTGGAGAGTGACACTGAACCTATGCTGGGGTCCCGGAGTGGCCTCAGTCAGGGATGAGAACTAAGCAGTCTGTGGCTTTGTACTTGGCCAACTGTGTCAAGACCATTTCACGAGAGGCCCTGGGCATCTCCTCACCTGTAAAATGGGCCGATGGCCCCAAGGGATACCTGGCACACGATAGTTCCATGGTACACATGTGAGAGGTTGGTATTCACTCCCACTGAAAGAAAGGGCTTTTAGGGGACATACAGACAATGCCAGTGACAGCTGCCCACTCTATTCTGGTGGGGACCCGACTTGCTTGTATTGGTTATAGAAAGTACCTACAGCTCATGTAAGAGGCAGATGCCACTGGTGTCAGGCTGGCTGGGGACCAGGGCCTTTTCTGAACTTTATTTGACATTTGGTTCCTGTTTCTCTCTCTACCCACCACATGCAGGGAGTGAGTTTTCTGGGAGCCCCTACAGCCACCCGCAGTATTCCTCGTACAACGACTCCTGGAGGTTCCCCAACCCGGGGCTGCTTGGTGAGTACTGGCAGAGACCCCGGGGGCCATCGGCGACTCCAGCTAGGCCTCCTCATTGGGCCAGGGCCCTTGATGGCCTGAGGTCTGGTCACTGAGGGAGAGTGGGTAGCTTGTCCAGACACATGACTATGGGGCTGTCATGGGGGCCTTATGGCAGTGGGCACCGCTCCAGCCCTGCCAGTGCCCTGGTCCCTCCCCCAGATCTGTGGTGGGTCAGGGAAAATGGCACAGAAGGGAACAGCAAATAAGGGCATTGAGGAAGAAAGAAGAAGGTGAAAAAAGTGCCTGCCCACAAATAACCTATATTTCTTAAGAATCATTCATTACATATTCAGGTGGTGAGAACTGTCTAAATAAGAGGCAGCAAAGATGCCAGCTTGGATTGACTGGTAGTGGCTGCCTTGGTAAGGACTCTGAGGCCAGTGGTTGATTAGTGATGTCTGCCATGGACATCAGCAGAGCCAGCTGCATTGGACACCGGCTGCCCGGTGGCGGAAGGCCTGCTGAGGCGTGCCATCCAGGGCTCAGCCAGTGCCCATCTTCTGCCCCAGGCAGACTGGTAGATTGCCCTGTGTGCCAGCCTGACCTGTGGATATCATCAGGATATTTGGGCCACCCGAAGTCAAGCAGGAATAAGCCAGCCCTCAAAAGGCCAAGAAGAGCCTTTTGTTGTGTTGAAATGAACTTACATGAAACCAGCTAGTGAGTGCCAGCTGGAGCTAAAGTTCTGGAACATGAAGCAGAGGCCTAGGTTCACAGATGTCACTCGCCACTGGGGACAGAGCCAGCCAATCAGTCTGCAGGCAGCAACACTGATCCCGCCCCCAACAGTCAGCTAAGAATTTTCTGGTGGGAGCAGTAAAAGGTCAGACACAGAAGAGCCCTCTGAGACCACCCAGGTTTGTCTGTCCACCTTAACAAGGCCTCCTTAAGGAATAGCCTGTTAATTCCCTGGATCCTTAATTATTTCAGGACTGAGAAACCTAGGCTTCATCAGAAAGGCAATAACCTGGTATCTTCGAACTCAAGTTGCCAAGCCATACATAGGTCTGTGAAACCTCAGCCTCAGCCTTCCCAAACCTGGTTTGGTGACTAGGACAGACACATGGTATAGACACCACCTGTCTGTCTCTTGCTACCTCAAGTCCATGCTCTTGGGCCCTGGGCTGTCCAGGGCATTTTGGTGTGTCATGCATAACTTGTGGATGAAATAAGGACAATGCCAATTAGTGCTCCAGGTCCCTGTGCTAGGGAGATTTTGCGCCTTGCAGAGGATGACCAGGCTCTTATTATCTGTGGTCTCTGGGAGGGGCAAGATCTGAAGATTAATCTCTTCTCAGACTTCTTTTTTGGTTTTGGTCAAAAATCATTTCTAAATATTGAACCAAGGTCTGTACTTACCTGATGCTTTTCCTTAAACAGACCCCCTGAGACTGCCCAGCTGTCAGTCTCAGGACACGGGAGGCATGGACAGTCTGTGGTCTTCCTGAACCAGGGTCTTCCAGCAGGGGTGGGGGCAGGGGGTGGGTCTTGAGGCCTGAGCCCGGGAGCCCTTCCCTGGACATCTGCCTCGGTCAGAGCCCTGGTCCCAGTGCTGCTGGGAGACCCACAGGGGATGTGGCGCAAAGGAGACCTGGGCATCAGCTTGTGGGGGTGATTCTTTCTGTTGAGGATGTGACCTCAAAGAGGTCATGTTGGCCCAGGGCTGCCACATACGACTGTGAACGCCCAAGGGGACAAGTGGGGGCTGAAATCCAGCCCACGCAAGGCACAAAGCCCTGAGCCCTGGAACAGGGCCACACCTGCTGAGAAAGGATACCTTTTTCTGATGTTCACAAGGTGTCCTAGAGGTTGGCAGTGGCCCTCATTTATTTGCCTGGGAATTCAAAGACAGAGAATTGGGAGGAAACTGTGCAGGCAGGTGTTGCAGAGTAAAGGACAGAGTAAGAGGTGGGGTGGCCTGTGGAGTGTGCATGGAGCAGGGACCTGGAACGCTGGGCTGAGAAGTTTGGACCTGAGTGTGTGGGCAGCTGGCGTCTGAGGGAGTAGGGAGGGACTGGGGGCTAGGCGGCCTCTGAGGCTTCCGCTGCTCAAGCGGGAGTGGAACCAGTTTACATGCCAGTCGCTAGGTTGGGCTGTGCGCCTGGCGTGGGAAAGACGCAGACTCTGTCCCGGGTAGCACACAGGCCGGGGGTGACGGAGCCTCAGGCAGGGGCGTCTGCACTGGGAGGTGCTCAGTGCCTTTAAGGGGGCTAGAGACAGAGTGGAGAGAAGGAAGAGGAACCAACTCTGTTCATCTAAGTGACCACTTGCCAATGTGAAAACCCTTCACAGGGGTTATCCCATTGTTTCCTTTCAACGACTCTACGGAGTACTATTGTCTCTATACTACAGAAGAGGAGAGCGAGACTCAGAAAGGTTAATTAATTCACCTGAAGTCACACAGCATGCAGATGGCAGAATGAGGACTTATATTCAGGTCCCCCTGACACCAGAACTTATTTTCATAACCAGTATGTAGTACTCTTACTCTTCCCACCTCATTCACAGTCTGCACAATACTGCAGCGGGAAAAGAGGCCTCATCTCTCTGTAGAAACAGGCCTTGGGAGCCCTAAACACTCAGACCTGGGGTGTGACGAGAATGGCTCCAGTCTAGTTTAGAGAGCCAGATTACTGTATAATAGACTCTCGGTTGCAAACAACAGAATCCACTTTGGTCAGTTTAAGCAGAAAATGAATTTATTAAGGGATATTAGGGGCTCCCAGAATCTTCAGGAGGACCAAAAAGAAATAGGCATGGGACACAGCTGGGAATGACACCCGGCCACACCACCAGGGCTGCCCCCGCATGCACACTCCTGCCGTGGCCAGCAGGCCCCAGTGGCGCCCCCACTGCAGCTCCCTCTGGGCTGCGCTGTACCCAGGGGCTGGGACCCAGAGTCAGAAGCTCTGCCCTCCTACCCACTCCCGCTCACGTGGCACACCTGTGCCACCGCAGCCGGGAGGGGAGTTCTGACTTCTAGCTCCAAGGGGCGGCCTCGTACCACGGGAAGCGCTGCAAACACAGGAAGAGCACAAGCGACTTCCGGCAGCTACACACTTGGAAACGGTCCCTGTGCTGCCCAAGTCTACAGCCTGGGAGTCCTAGTTAGGTCCCCAACCAGTCTGGGCTTTAGCTGCCGCAGGTGTGATTCGAGGATGGTCGCCATGGCAGCCTCGTTGGAGCAGGAGCTGACCATGATGCTCTCTTGAGGCTCACGGCCAGAATAACAGTGACCCTGCTTTCCTGAAGATGCATGAGCCTTGCAAATAGCTCAGCCTGGTGCCGTCCTCTGTCCCTCCCCACAGCGCCTCCAGGGCTGGGCTGAGAGAACCCCCCAGGGCAGGGAGACCTAGCCTGACTGTTTCGGCCTCCTGGGGAGAGTGCCAGGGTGTGGAAACCCCTCGGCTCCTTGGTGCTCTCCTGGATCGGTGGGCCCCGAGGGAGCAGGCGAGGCCCTGCACACGCGCATACACTCACCTGCGTGTGCTCACAGCCTCAGGTCCTCGCTCCCACTCTCACCCGCCTCGCACACGCTGTCCACACCCGGCCAGCCCGGCTGAAGCCTCCTCCGCAGAAACACTGCAGAGAGAGGGTCGGCAGTGCCAGCAGAGGAAGCAAAGGGCTCATCACACGTTGGCAATTCGCGAGAACGTCCCTCCCCACGATCCCCAGCCAGGGTGGCTGTGACCAGCATCCCGTGGGGCTCCAGGCCAGCGAGGGGCCGCAGAGACATGTGGGCAGGGCCGGAGGGGAGAAAGGCGGGCGGTCAATTAGGATTAGAACGCGAGCCGTGGCCGCTGGAAAGGGATTAGAGGGGCCGCGGAGCCGGAATGCCTGTGTCAAGCAGTAAATTGATGATAATGTGAATTAGAGAGGAAAAATGACAGAAGAAAGGACAAGTTTATTCTAGATGGAGGTCTAATGGGCACCAGGAAGACAGAGTGCTTTGTGAGGTGATGTTTTCATTTTTCACGGTAGATGCAAACGCACATGCTGGGCCTGCCGGATGGCCTGGCCAGGAGGCGAGGCTTTGGGCGCAAGCGAGTCAGAGCCAGGGCAGAGGTGGCCGGGCGGGGCTTGGGCGGATGGCAGGGCCAGGGCAGAGGTGGCCGGGCGGGGCTTGGGCGGATGGCAGGGCCAGGGCAGAGGTGGCCGGGAGGGGCTTGGGCGGATGGCAGAGCCAGGGATCCTTCCAGCAGGAGCCTTGACTTGCATTTCCTGCCGCTGGGGGCCCATCTGAGGGGCAGCCTCTGTGACTGTCCTGCTCTTGTGCCATGCCCAGGCCTGCAGGGACAGGCCCCCTCTCGCACACACGCCCCTACCCCCCAGGCCCGCTGCACGCAGGATGCAGGGTGGCACTGCAGATGCTCTGTGAGTGACTGTCCCCATCCCACAGAAGAGAGAACAGAGGAAGGCTGGCAGGTGACTCTGAGTCAGGGCTCTGACTGGGGAGGTGACAAAGGAGGCAGCAGAAAACTCTATCTTGGGGAATACTTAGGCATGGGGTTGGTGTCCGTCCCTTCCAGAACGGTACAGCCTGCCAGCCCCAGCACCGTCATTGCCGCCTGCGGCCATGCTGCCGTGGTGTGGCGGGGAAGGACAGGGAGGGAGTGGTAGTGTGTGTGCTAATCAGAGCTGAGTTTGGAGGGGAGGTGGCACATGCTGAAGTGCCCCCATCCCACCCTCTTGGTTACATACTAACTGTATGACCTTGGGCAAGGTACTTAACCTCTCTGTGCCTCGTTGTCCTCATCTGTAAAATGGGGACAGTCACAGTTCTTACCTGGTAGGGTTGTTGTGGAAATGAAGTTAACGGATATAGAGTGCTTAGAAACGTGACCATTTCCACGGCTCTTTCAAGTCCTTCTCTCACAGTGCCCTCCCATAGCCCCACTGTGACGCCCTTTACAGATTAAAAAACTGAGGTCAGGGGAATGAAATCCCTTGTTCAAGGTCTCACAGCCAAGAAGTGGCAGAGCACGACTGGCAAACTCCAGGACTCAGCCCCCAATTGTGGTGCAGGTGGGGTCTCCTTTATGTGAAATGCTCGGGGCCAAAACTGTTTTGGATTTCAGACTTTTTTAGATTTTGGGATATTTGCATTATATACCAGTTGAGCATCCCCACTCTAAAAATCTGAAATGCGAAATGCTCCAAAATCTGACATGACCCTCAAAGGCAATGCCCACTGGAGCATTTCACATTTCAGAATTTTGGAGTGCGGATGCTCAACCTGCAGCCGGGAGAACTGCCAGGATTTGGTTTGGATTTGGGTGAGATTGCGGAATGAGTCACTTCACCTGGGGACCCAGGAAGCTTGACAGGGCCCCAGCTGCTGCCCACCCAGACAAGCTGGGCCCTCCAGGGTGGGGTGTACAGGCCTTGAACTGGAACGGGTCTTGAGCCGGATGCAGACAGCCTGAATGCCTGGCCAGGCCCTGGCACCCAGAGCCTCTGTGGCTTTGGGCACATGACTTTGGTTTGTTGAACTTCAGTTTCCACAACCTGTAAAAGGAGGAGATTAGCCTACTGATTCTAACTTCTGTGGTTCTGAGAACCTGGGCCCCCCAGCTCCCCCACCCCTGAGGAGGCTGGTGGGAGGGACCCCAGGGCTGACCTCAGCTCCCTCTCCCGTCTCTTCCAGGCTCCCCCTACTACTACAGCGCCGCTGCCCGAGGAGCTGCCCCGCCTGCGGCCGCCACTGCCTATGACCGGCACTGACCCTTGGAGCCAGGCGGGCGCCAAGCACTTGTGACACATATCATTGAGGGCGATAGCCTCCAGCCCCTCTGGAGCCAGCCAGAGGGGCCTGCTGAGACTGTCCCCAGCAGCCTCCCCCCGTCACCTGAAATTCCCACCTTCCCCTTCTCCTCCCTGGGATAGGGTTTTATGCCAGGGCTGTTGGACTTCTCGATGCTCATCCATTGCTAAGAGCCAATTGATGAGCTTCTCCCAATGGCCACTGAGTCTCCGAGAACCAACAGACCTTTCTGTGGACAACTGCAGCCCAGCCCAGCCTGCCAGTCCCCCAGCCGTCTGACCATCTGTCTGTCGAAACCACCCGGGCCTGGGAAGGAGAGCTTGCTTTAGCGGCTTCAGCAGCACTTGTGTAAATACCTTCTCACTTTTCCGTGGGCCCAAGGGTCCGACTGAGCAGACTGCCCGACCCATTATGTGTCCTGCACTCACGGTGCGTCACGGGACATCTCAGACCTGTGCCCGGAGCGTCCCCTCTGCCCTGGGTGCCCCCGCCACGTGGGCTCAGAGCTGTCCTTGACACCGAGGACACCCACCGTGGGGCCCCTGCCTCCCGCTCACGTCTTGACGGGAGTCTTGACCGGGAGTCTCTTCTTTCACGTCTTGACCGGGAGTCTCACTGGGCTGGTTGTGCTGCAAGTGCCCCCTGAGAGCCCTCCCCAAGAGGAACATACTTTCCAGAGACGCCCTGGCTTCCTGCCTCCATTTCCCTGGGGCCAAAGGAGTGTTAGCAGCTCTTTTCCAGATCAAAAAACTCAAAGAGAACTGCTGGGGAGAGAGAACTTCCTCAGCTACTGTGCAAAAGCAAGATGTCATCCAAGGTGTTGACCGCACTGTGGACTTTGAGCGTCAGGGCGGGTGGGATGCAGGAGATCGTCCAATCCAAGCCCAGGAGGGGCCCGAGGCTTCCTGACTCCCCCAGCCCCTGGAGCTGTGTGTTTCCTGAGGCATATCCAGGCTCAAATCACTCTGGACACCCACCACGGACACTTCACCCACCCTCGAGGACCCCTATGAGTGGATTCTGGGCAAGCCTGTCCCAGCCGTGTAGACAATGATTAACACAAAGGACTTTCCCCTGCACCGAGGACCACAGACAGCCTACAGCAGCCAGCCAGCACTTCTGCATGTCCTCTTGGGGCAGCCCCTCCCCGTCCTCATGGAGCTTCGCATGCAGCTGGGAGCAGAGGTGCTGGGATTGGGGGCAGATGCCTAATTTTGCACAGTGCATGCCCACCTGTTGATTGAAGGGGCTGCGATGGTCAGAGCCATGGCCAAGGACCACAGGAGCTTGGAGAGGGGGCTTGGAGAGCTCACTGTGGGCTAGGGTGGCCAGAGGAAGCCAGCTGGGAAGATGTGGGGGACAGAGGAAGGCTTCCTGGGGAAGAGGCAGGAAAGCAATGAGGAAGTGGTATGTGACCTGGGAATGGTTTGGAGATGGGGGTGCCAGATGCTGCCATCCCTATGCCTGGGGCCTCAATTTCTTGCATAGTCTCTCTTGTCATCTCAGAAAAGCCAGATGCAGCCCCTGTCCAAACCCAGGCTGAATTACAGCAATGACAGTGGGCTTGGTCATCTCATATGACAGTGTCCCCAATGCCGGCATGTCACTAGGATGGCAGCAAGCTGGGGGCAGAGATAGCCTGCACAGGAGTTGTCAATTCAGGCAGGTCTTGTCCCAGCCATTCCTCTGCTTTGGTGTGAGGCCTCAGACAGGACCCTTCACCTCTTTGAACCTCAGCCACCTTGGTACAGCAGAGTCACCTGTAGGTTCACCCAGCATCTGTCTGCTTTCCTTCCTCCCTCCCAGGGAGCTGGGGTCATGGCAGGGCTGGCTAGGGCAGGCCCTCCACTCCTGAGCAAGTATGTGGGGTGTGCTTGAGTCCTGCCCATACTTAGACCAAGTGGGAAACAAGAACGCCCAGAGGTGCACGATCTGGAAGAGGCTTGAAAAAGACCTAGTTCAGCTTGACCATGCAGGGAGACAGAGCAGAGCAGAGCAGAGCAGAGCAGATCTCTTCTGGCCAGCACTAAGTGTTTTGTCCCCTAGACTCCTGCAAAGTGGTGGGACAGAAGAGAAAACAGAGGCTCACCAAGGTGGAGTCCCCAGGCAGTGACTGGCAGAGGTGGGGCTGAGACTCAGTCACCCCCATCTATCTATATATTAGCCCAGGGGAGAGAGGTTGGCAGTGAGGGCAGCAGGAGATGGCTCTGGACCCAGTGCCCCAGGCTGGGTGTCTGGGGCTGTTAGAACTGCCAAGAAAGCCCCATCACCCAGGCCCAGTGAGCTCACACCCACCCTCTGGAACCCACTGGGCAAAAAAGGGAGGTCACTGGAGCCAGAGCCACCTCCAGGAGCTGGGACCAACTGGCTCCAGCCTCCACCTGCCAGGTAAGGAAGGAGAAGGTGCATTACCTGGCTCCTCCCTCCCCCCATTAAGCAGGAAGTGCTGGGTCAGGAGTCTTTCTTGAAGGCCTTGGGCCTGTGTCCCCTGCCACCCCTCTTTTGGAATGATGTGCGCCCACCACTTTGGATCCTGGTCCCCCTGCCCCCCCTGATTCCAGGCTGCTGGGAGGAGCTCAGCCTCCCCTGAACCAGCTGCCTAAGGCACACAGCACCCTCCCCTCGGCCAAGCCTACCCGGCCTCTGCGGCCCCTCTCCCCGTCCTGTTCCCCTTCCTGCCCCTGTACTGAGCTCCCTCCTGGCCTTTCATCTCTCACCTGAGGCTCTGCTGGTCCTCAGATTGGACTTGTATTTATTAGACAACCACTCGATTCCTGGGCTGCCAGGCAGAAGCACAAGAGCACACGGATGCACACGGATGTTCTCATACATACATATCTGCTCTCACCAATCCAGAGCACCCTCGCTGTCCGGCGGAGCTCTGAGGGCTTGGTGAGGAGGCTTCCAAAGGACACAAGCCGTTGAGTAGATGCCAGAGGACTCTGAATGGAAAACAGTAAGTTCAGGACTTCACCAGCATCGTGGCAGGAGGCCTGGGGCATTCCTTCAAAAGGCCTTTGGCCCTGTGGTCCAGCTCCGACTTTTTGAAATGGACATTGTGGATTTTATGAAAAAATTTCATACCGTTATTCTAGCTCCAACCTAGAAAAATCTGACGACATATCAAACCCGTCATCCCTTTGCCAAGGCGCCTTAGGGTCAGCCCTCTCGTACCTGGCACCGTACGGTGCTTTGTGATCCTTGACCATCCTGTGGGGCCGATCAGGACACCTGTTTTACAGAGGGGGAAACTGACACTTGGGGCTCACGTGGCAAGACAGGGATGCGAATCCTTAGCTCTCCAGGCCCCATCCTCTCTCCACAGACTGTGCTCGCGACACGGGAGTGCATGGCTTTGAGACACCCACCCCTCACTCCCCTAGAAACCTTCCAGACCCAAATAGGGAAAGAAAGAACAGGGACGCAGAGGTTGGCCTGACCTAGGGGCCTAGCGGTTGGTGGCTTTGTTGGTCCAAATTGGTTCCCATTAACATTGAAACCTGCAGCGTCTTGCCCAGATTCACAGCAGCACTTCTGAGCTTTCATGCAGACTCCTTCCCTCCTGCACCCTGAGGCTCTTGAGGGGACTAGAGCTTGTCCAAGTCTACACCGTGATCCCTGACGGGCCCTGGGCACTGGCCCAGCTCTGACTCCCAGGCCCGGGGTGCCCCAGTCATGAGCTGTCTCTTCATTCCCCTTTTCTTTGTTCTTCCCACTTTGGAACAGAGTCCAGGCCTGGCTGTGACAATGTGACAATATGCAGGAGTGCCCGAGCCTGGGCCATCAGGGTGTCCACGGGCCATGAAACACAGATCACAATCTCCAGGGCCCCGAACTACCTGCTTCCTGGACCAGCCAGGCTGCGCAACCTTGCAGCTTGGCGGGGCGAGAGGCAGCTGGTCGTGGGGGGTGGGGTGCTGCCCCCCGGCTGGTGTTCAAGTGTGAAAACTTAAAATGCTCTGTCAGCCAAAAAAAAAAAAAATATATATATATAATTTATAGTATATATATGTCCATGGGCCACATTGGACCCGCTGGCTACCAGCCTGTGATCCCCCAGTTCTGTCAAATGCCCCTTTCTTCTTCACCTGTCCTTCTTCGCTTGTCCTCCGTTGTAGATTTGGAGGAAACAGGAGCCCAGAGAGGTGAGAGCTGTGCTTCAGGTTGTCCGGCAGCAAGTCAGTGGCAGAAAAGTGGCAGAAACAGGCACACCCAGTCCCTGCAGCCCTCCCAGGCCTCATCCTGGGCTCTCGCAGACCATGGGCTTCGAAGGTGGGGCGGGGTAAAATGTCAGAGGTGGTAGGGGTGGGGGGAGCTATTGGCTTTAAGGGGGGATAAAAGCTGTTGGCTTTAAGGTGGGGGCCCTTCACATGCACAGGGAAGAGCCTTGTGTGTGGCCACAGGGCACTGAGGGGTGATCCCTTTATGAGAAGTCATACCCCAGATGGCTGCTCTGCCTTTGGCAGCCTATGGCTCCAGCCAGCCCCTCCGGATGACATTTCAGCCAGAATTTAGCTCCAAGCCATGGGGCGCAAATCTTAAAAACAAACCAAGCACTCCGACAAATAAGCTGGAAACAAGCTCTGAGATACAGCTTCCCAGGAGGGCAGAGACAAATCCGGGCCCCTGGAGAGGCCAGACCCGGCTGGCGTGAGTGGGTCCCACGGGACTCTGGGCTGGATCAGCTCACAGTGGCCCTGCTAAGAGGCCAGCTCCGCAGCCTTGGCCTTGTCACCCATCGAGAGCCTGCCTGCGATGATTCCCAGGCATGCACACCAGCCCTCCTGGTAAATTTATTCCTTCAGTTCTTTTAGTCTCCGAGAGGTCCAAGGCAAGTGCATTTCTCAAGAGGTAACAAAACGCATTATCGGAAGTTGGACAGTCAGGCCATGACTCCTAGCCTCCGTCTGCCCCACCTCCCGGCAGCCCCCGCAGCCCCTGTGCCCTGTTGCCCCCTTGTCCCCGGGCCTCGGGACTCCCTCTTGCATATTTATGGGGAGCCACAGTGTTGATCTGTGCTCCCCACTGTCAGCTCACGGCTGCGCCTCGAGCAGCGCCGGGTCCCCAGGGGCCGGCAGCGGAGGCCGGGCCGTGAGCCCCTGCCCACTTGCTCTCCTGACGAGGCGGCAGCTTCTCTGAGACCGCTGCTTGCTGGGAGTGGGCAGGCACCGGTCTTTCTTTCCTTCTCTGGTAATTCCTCAGCACTGAGGCCCCATCCCGGCCGCCCCCGGGATGGAAGAGGACCTCAGAATCGCGTCACTGCCATTCTAGAGTTTTAGTCCAGAGGTAAACAGAGCCACCATTCAGCAAGTCTAGATATTCTTCTTCCTACATCTTGGACCCCTGAACAGCACAAGGGGAAAATGCAGCTGCTTCCCTCTTTACTGAGGGAATCCCAATGAATTCCCAAATGGAGCCAGTCTCGGTAGTGAACTTGGCCTGTGGCAGGAGAGACGGAGGCAGGAATCTGCCCTTCAGCTTCCAGTGGCTCTGAGTGGGGTCCAGGGAGGGAAGCAGGTGAAACAGCAGGGCAGGGGTGACTGGGCAGTCACGTGCCCCATCCCTGACCTGGGACCTGGCAGGAGGAGGCCACACTGCAGCCGCCCCTGCTCCGAGCTGGGCCCACCTGGCCCCGTGGCTGTGGCTGCTGGGCCGCCCTCATCCCCCAAATCACCTGCTTGTGGCCACGTCCCTCATCTTCTCCGAAAGCATCATTAAGAACAAGTGATTTTGGATGATGGATTTTTGATTTACAAATGGTGCATTTCCCTTGGAGTGGAACAGAAAGGAAACCATTTAATGGCCCCCTTATTTTCAAGCATGAATACATTTTAATGAAACTATTTTATTGTGTTTGAGGAAATGGAGAGTTGAACATTCCAACCAATCAATAGCCAATTAATTGCTATAAAGCTAAAAAGAAAATAAATAAATCCTGAGTCTATTTTAAACATCCTACAAAGCTCAGAGCCTCAGACTCTGGCCTTCCCCTCCACGACGTGCACAGACGTGCGCGTGCACACACACGCACCCCTACACCTCACACGTACTTGAAACTCAGAACAAGCACTGAGTCCCTCATGCCAATCCTTGCCTTTGGTCAGAGAAGGTGAGCAGACCTGACAGCAGCCTGTCCTGGGGCTCAGGAAGAGGCAGCCCCATCCCTGTCCCCAAGCCCCCATGCGGGGTAGCAGGGTAGTGGGTGGTGAGGGCCAGGCTTTGCCTGGGCCCCCCCTTCTTGGCACCAGCCGCTGGGCCTCAGGTTGGGCTGAGGGTGGCATTCTGCCTCTGGTTTTGCCCTGACTCCTGCTGGAAGATGCTGCCCTGGTGTCTCACCCTCGAGTGGCCTTTGGACATTGAGTATTTATAGAAATGCAGATTACTTTGCAAATGGAACTCTTTGCCAGGAAGACACATGGGTTTCACTTTTCATTCTTTGAGACACTTTGTCTTAGGGACTGACCTTCCAGCATCAAAGAAATACATATCTACTGTATCCGCCAAAGTTTGTGATGCCTGCATAGACGCTTACTTGTAAAAAAAAAAAAAAGTACAAAAAAACCAACAAAAAAAAACCACAATTGAATTGCCTTTGAAAGTGGGAGATGATCTGTCTCCAACAGATTGAAAAAAAAAATGCTTCTTAAAAATGTGTATGTTTTGTATTCTTTTTTTCTAGTAGAAAATAACTGACTTGAAATATTGGTGGTTTTTTTTCTTAGTGACGTGTGTTGCTTTTGTGTGTAATAATATTTGAATGTAATTACAGCAGTGCCAATTTGCCAAAGATGTCGGACATATTTTTTTTTTTGTGGGAGGAGGGCAGGGCTGGGGGTGGGACTTGGGAGAAAACAGGGGTGGGGTTTTGGTTTAATTTTTTTTTAACTTTTTTTTTCCTTGTCAAACCTGAAATTTGTGGCTTTATTTTAAGTTAAATGGTTGACTGCAACACCTTTATTTTAGATTAGTTGGAGAAACATGCAATAAGATTGGCGTAGTTTCAATATCTGTGTGTCTTTTCATGAGTGGCTGTTACTTGTGAAGAATTGATTTTATGTAACCTTTATGTGACATAATTATTTGTAAATATTTGCCATAATTTTATTGGTTCCTAAAATAAAAGTAATTTTTTAAGTTCAGAAAAAGACTTTGATCTCATTTGTTTATACTGGTTTGTGGATGATCTTTGACAACCGTGACAAAACCACGTGGGGTTGCAGGGAGTTCGATGGCTCTCCTGATTAAATGGGGGTAGAAACAAATCCGTGCATCTAGAATGATGTGCCACAGCATTGGAGTCTGGCCTGGCAGGGCTTGGTGGGGGCAGAGTCTGCCCTGGAGAGGTCCCCAGGCAAGCTGCTGGCCAGCTTGGCAGGGTAGAGTAACGGCTGAGACCCCACCTGGATGTGACTCCTAGCTGTGAAAGTCATTAGCCGTGGGACCGTGGCAAAGTTCTGTAACCTCAGCTTCTCTAGCTCCAAAATGGTCAGCAATACCCACCTCATTCATTCATTCATTCATTCATTCAGGAAACATTGATTATCTACCCTGTCCTCGGCACTAGGGCTACAGCAGCGAACAGGGCACACAAGGACACCCGACAACATCAGGCTGACAATCCATTGGGACGTTGTGGGCAGTAAGTTAGCCCACGTCAAAGGCTCAGTAAGTGATGTGTACCTGTTCACATGCTTTTCACCTGATCCAGCCTGAGCTTCCTGGGACCTAAAATGTCTGGGTGCAGACAGAGCTCAGGAGCCACTCATGCCAGGAGACCTCACCTTGGGCCCTAAAGCCACAGGCCCTATCTGGCCAGAGCTCAGAGCTCAGGGGTCCGCAATCCTTCTATGGGAGATGCCTTATCCCTAAGCCTTTAGAACTGAGCATTTCGGCTGCACGGAAGCCCAGAGGTGGCTTTTCATCAGGCGGCAGGGCAGCTGCAGACCGGAGCCCTGCCCCTGCCGGGCGATGTCAGCGTGCAAGGGCAGGCAGGGACCGCTGCGCCCCTTGGCACAGTGTGTGCAACTCAGTAATTGCCAGAGATGGAGTGGGCGAGTGACCGCGTGGGGGCCGTGGACTGCAACTCATTCATATTTAATAAAGCAGGCTGCACGGCCTCCATTCATTTCCGCAATGGATGGTGACGAAGGTGATCCCTGGCGGCGGGAGAGAGAGAGACGTGGCGGAGTGCTGGCCCGGCTCCTTTCTTCTCAATGCTCCCGACTCAGAGCACAAACTTCAAGCAGAACCACACATGTTTTGGAACTGAAATTGGACCCCAAACCTACAGGAACTGGTGAGGCGGGGCAGGTGCTTCAGTCCCTGACGCTGTGGCTCTTGTCCCTGGTTTTCTGGGAACAGAAGCCTCCCGCCTGCTCTCCTCAGAAAGGGGCACTGGTATCTCCAATAAGCAGAGCATGTGCAGCCCCCATGTGGCCGCAGAAGGGAGGCGATGGGCAAGACTGCCAGGTAGAAGGGGGGAAGTGCCAACCCTGGGCAGCCTCAGGCAGCCTCCAGCAGCCCCTCTGCACTCAGTGACAGTCGCAGAGGGCATTCCTCGGGAGCCAGGCCCCGTGCTAGGTGCTGGCTACCTAGAGACCACCTGTGGGAGGAGGAAGCCACTACAGGCCTCCTAAGAGCCATCAGTTTGCTGATGTAAGCAGTCTCTGAACTTCTAGAAGCCTTGGTTTCTTCATCTGTATAATGGGTAGAAACATCATAGCATTTACCTCAAGGATGTTGTGGGAAAAAAATTTTATGCATTGTGTGAAAGTTTTTCTAAATGACAAATGTTGAGTTTTGCCAAGATGGCTCCTCAGCTGTAAAGAAGTCAAAATTTTACACCCAAAGGTCAAACCCTAGTATTTCCTCCACTTTGCTGGGTACAACAGGAGGGTGGAATGTAGAAATGAACCCCCCAGGAGCCTGCTCTCTGGGGGCAGGTGATGTGCAT